GTTAAATTTTAGGAGAACGAGAGGAGTCTTTCCTTATTGGCTAGAACTTGGATATTATTTTGCAAATGATACTATAAAAGGGTAAAGGGTCTATGATCTATAATCATTGTGGTATTGATATTTTTGGGAATGAAGGTTTTCTCCCAGCTGGGTGAAATGTTACAATCATTGTGAAAGCTAGAAAATACCTATTGAATCAGGAATTTTAATTCATTCTAGAACCCATGGTATATTTTTTGTTTGGTCCAAGACTCTTGCCGAGGCCCATTGGTTGAGAGCAATAATAATCTCATCCAATAATATAGGAAAAGATGAGATATAATTAGTTTTGCATCCATCCTCGTAATAAAAACTATAAATCATGTATATATTCGTATATTAAGTTTTATTATAAACTATAAATAGTGTCAAACTCATCATATCAGAAAAAGTCTACTCACTCTCAAACTATAAATAATATTATATAAACTTTAGTTTAACTTTCAACATTTTTTTTCCATGCGTGTGTTAATCGAATACTCTTTTAATTTAAAGGGTTAAATTTCTTTCAAAATCTATCTACATATTCTTGTAGGAGTTATCCACTCATATGCGTTGGTTCATTTTTGGGATGCTTCATCTTTATTCATTCATCAAACCTCCAATTTGATCAGTTCAAAGATATAATTCTCGTTTATTTCACATCAATCACCAAGTAAGTTTCTCTTCGAGCCTCGTGACTTCTTTAGATGGCTTCCCTCTCACAAAGATGCTGCCGCTACACCAACTGCCATGTTCAATGTCTGGATTTTGCCACCTGACATAGTTATTTGTAATATTTAATTACGATCACATTGTGCCGTGTGCGAGGATATATAAAATAATTAATTAAAAAGAAACATGGCATAACATAACAAAAAAAAAACACAAAAGGGTTCAAGGTGTTTCGGAACAATTTTGAGCATAAGACTGAGTGAGGAATTCCAAATCCTATCAAAGTAGATATTGAGATCGATAGTTTCACTTTGATTTGTTGTTAAGATTAAGATATAACCAAGGAATCTATAGATTTTCTTGTTCGGAGTAATCAAGTTTCAGAAATAGAATTCTCAAATATTTTTGGTATGTCAACAGCGTATATGCTCCTTGCAAAAGTGGATATGTGTGGTTGGTTGTACGGCACAGTGGAAACAAAAACAAATTGATCCTTGCAAAAGTGGAAACAAAAACAAATCCGTCTTGAATTTTATGTTTTTTTCCTTATTATACTTTTGATGTTCTCTAAATTTCACACATTAATGTAAGGTGACTTGTCGCCATTTTGAAATTATTATGCATTTAATCCTTTAGATGACAGATTACTAAAGCATTTTTATTGCACTCTAAGGAAGGTTGTGAAATATCAAATTAACTAAGTAGGGGAATGACGTGTAAGAGAGTAAGCCAAGAGATTTAATCATACATAAAAACAAATTATTTTGAACCATTAAACATGATGTACAAAGATTTTACGTAGATTTCACTAGAGATAGTTTCCCATAGATATCACGGCAAACTTCAAATGCATAGTCGTTTACTCATTCAAGCTTCCATATCTAATATTAGATCATATTAGATAGATAGAGCTCCCGTACTCTTTCAAATAGCATTGGACTGTGGAGGCCATATGTTCCCTAGTTTGCTCAAACTATAAATTTTATGAACAAGATTAATTAGCAACTTTATTTATTATGATACTATGAAAGCTTAATATTTTGATATATTTGCATGCTTTACAGGTTCACTATGTTCTATGATTGTATTAGCTGCATCATGTAGATCTACATGTTAATTGAAAGTGATTCATTGTACTATTGTCCTTTGGATTCGTGGGAGACGTGTTGAGATTGTCGAGAAGGATAGTAGCCAATTTGATCTTGATTTCCTTTATCTTGAATGACAATGT